AGCAGCTACAGAGAAGGCCCTCCCCCGAGGAGCCACCAGACGACATTGTCTGGTCGACGGCACTTGGAGAAGGCCCATCCTGTGTGATCTTATCGGCCGTTGGGAGGTATGTGGTAGAAGACGGTCTCGCAGATACCGTCTTGGTGGGCGTGGCAAGGGAAGGATACTGTAAAATCCCCATTCCCTCCCGATCAGCTGGGACTCAGGAGGCTGAGAACAGATGGGGGCGGGGCCAGTATTTACCGGTTCTCTAAGCTACTCAAATGTTCCGCTACCGGTTCTCCAGAACTGGTCAGAACCTGTTGAGCATCACCTCTGCTTTTAGGGGGAAATATAATATTCTGCCTTTTTTATTATTTCCTAAAATATTTCATTCTTCTAGGAGGGATGGGTGCTAACTTTCTACAAGGTGTAAAGGAAATGAGGCTAAACTGCTGTTGCATGAAGGCTCCAGATTGGAGGGCAGAAAGACGTAAGCAAGCCGTTTACTCATGGCAGGCTTCACCATGGAGGTGACTGACACGAGGCGCGGAGAGATTTATTGTCGATTGCAGGCTAAAGTGCATCTCAAAGGAAGGGAAGAGGAAATGAATCACTTTGCAGAAAGGAAAATATTCTATTTGGTATTTATTAAGAGAGATGGTGGGGGGAATAATACCAAGCACTTGCTATCAATGGGTGGGAGCAAAGGGACAAGTTCCAAGGTATCTTTAAAGCATGCGTCGGATGGGAACGGTGCCCACAAACTCCAGATTTGAAAGCTTCCACGCTCTTCTCGCTTGGCAAATCTTTATGCGTCTTTATGAAACTGACAGCTGCGGGTCCTTCAAGCGTCATCCCTCTGGAAGACAGCGCTATGCCAACTTGGAAACTTTTAACAGGGGGTAAACTTCAACTCCCAGAATTCCCCAGCCTTGGCATTGGCTGCTTGAGGAATTCTGGGAGTTGAAGTCCACCAATCTTTAAAGACTTTTAAAAAGTCTTTTAAAAAAGGTTGGACACCCCTGATTTAAATGATAGCTTCCAACTAACAATCTTGCTGTTAGTTCAGGGGTGGGATTCTGCCTGTTCGGATCGGTTTGGGCAAACAGGATGTTCATTTTAATCTGATTCGCCGAACCGGTAGTTGCAAAGTTTGGCTGACCCTGCCCAGGGCCTGTGTGGAGGCTCTGGAAGGGTGAAAAACAGACCTACCAGAAGTTCCGCAAACAGG